TGTATGATCATATTATAAACAGTTGTACTATTAAAAAATCATACTGGGCCCGAAAGTCTTATCATCATGCTGTGACTGGTCATACGTAGATTTTAGTCTGTCCCATGCCCTTCTTTGTCACGAAACTCATCATAACACGTCGTCCCATGTGCAACATCACCCTGTTGTCTGCCAAAACGAATAGTGTAGGAGAAAATCGCCTCCTAGCAGCGAGTAGGACTTGGTTTGCAGGTTTAACTGCATGCATTAATCCCACCTTTCGATTAGGATTAAAACATAAACATAAAAAGTCCCGGATTGTTTAGAACGACCCAAATATATAGGAGAACCGATTGACCGCTTCGACGCGTACTTTTGTGGTTCTGATAGCATTTGACGAATCAGTTCCGGCCTGCAACAATATTAGGTATCTTGTAGGTGCATGACACGTCAAAGTATGCAGCGCTAAGTAACAGCCTATTCGATGCCGATGAAAAAGCAGAGCAGGTAGGAGAATACAAAAAAGAGTTATTCACCACCCCAAAGTTGAAGATATAGAGTAGTCCTAACGCACTGCACTTGCGGTGATGAACACATGTGAGAGTTTTCAGTCGACCCTTACCCAGCAGCAGTGGCGATAGTGGTATGGAGTTTCAGAGTGGAAAAACGTCTTCCAGCCATACACTACCGCAAACAGGCACAATCAATAGAATCAAGGACAACCTCCATGTCAGCGGAAAACTAATATAGTGTCCAGAAGTATGAGATATTCGGGCAACTGACGAGGCGTAAAATTGTGGCCAACGCATCCCCTGGTGCTGAGGTGGAGGCAAGTCTGTTTTCCACTGATTAGACTCTAACGGGGATACGTGAGCCGTCACAGTTAGATGTACGTGACCAGTGAGGATATATTTTTTAATTAGACGCCGGTTCCCGTGGCATAGTAGATGAGATGATGAATCCCTCATACCTGTCCTCTCCATTCACGATAAGCCATCTTATCAGTCAACTCCAATATCTCATCAACGTTTCAGATCGTCACTTCATATTTGTTCCAGGTTGACTCTCTGCTGTTTAATTATTGATTGTTACTCTTTGACCCGAGTGGAGTCAACTGTGTCGACAGCACTTCAGTGATCAGATCAGCTGATTGAGCGTGTTTTCCATTTGTTAAAACATAACTGTTGGTGCTCATGTTCCGAACCAACCGAACTACGTCTCTAATATCCGAAGCCAAGAAGATTAAATGTCCTCTGATTATATTGTCCGGATGAGTTCATCTGTGATGGGGTTTAATGTCACCGTCTCAAAGAACAGAACGGATTGTTCGCACGTAAACATAGAGGTGGTCAAAAGCATGGAAAAATCATTCACTGGAAGAAAACGTTAGAAACATCTGCGGGGAAATAAGAGGAAGCATCATTATCATCAACACCCACAGCGTCACAGAAACACGGTACTAGCGCATCAGTGTGATGCAGTTATAACTGGTGGGGAAATAGTGCGGATGAACTGATTTCACTTGCAGCCTAAATGTCCTAAGTAAAATTTTGGGGGAAAGCGGACATAGTGGCTACTGCTTGTCAACAAAGTACGGTCACAAACGGCAGCGGCGGCACTGGTCGGTCAACCTATTTGTGTCCTGAACTACCCCGCGTCATAATCGGCCTTATTCTACAGACAACGCAGCCTTCATCCAACACATGCACACATATGAAGACGCATGTCAACATTGACGGTATCCACAGTGTTCATGCAGATGCAATTACCAGTCTCAAGGTAATGAAGTTAAACAGAAACCGAGTGAACTTAACCTGCTAAGTTTCCGATGTAAGAAAGGACTAATAGGTTCTAAGGCCAAAAAGGGTTTGGACGGTAAAGCTACGGTAGCCTAGCGGTTGACACTATGTCTAGCAGCACAGAAAGGCTTGTCAATAGAGACGAATAAGTATGTGATAGAAGTTGACGAAAGAGGTAGCAGTCCGTTTTCGCGTGTCCACACAACTGTGTGAAGTGGCTTAAACGGTTTACTCGAAACTGTGAGAAGGAAAGACGAGGTTGGAGTCTGATAAAATAGTCACGGTTTTAAGCAGTCGGGGTATCGCTATTGCATTTGTCTCGAACACTCATTGCGAAGCGGCAAGAATAAGGCAGATATCCCCAAAGCGGGCCGTTTCCACAGAAACGGAAATCGAATGAGTTCAGATGTGTAAATTGGAAGACCGAGATTGAATTTCCGATGAGAGTAGCCCTCTGGAACGTCCAACAAGCTTGACTAAGCGGTTCCGGCATAAACAAACCGCCATTCAGTGATACTAAGACTGAGCAAATGGAAACGAATGATGCACTGATGAGATGATTTAGAGGAAAAGCAATAAGCACCGAAAAGGTACCAAATTTAGACGAACGGGTGGGTTTTGGCGAAAAAATAGGAAAGTGGACATAACTCCTTAACGTTCTATGTCGCAAAAATACATCAAACTATTTTTGCCCAAATGCGACTTACAATGCATAGGTTCTCCTCTAGTGTCGAATGTTACATTTGCTGGATGGACATTAGAAGCTATCAGTACCACAAGTCACCGTAACTTGCGGTTGCTTTGAAGTTACAGCTACTTGAAAATAGTGATTGGGGAAGTGGGCTTGACGTGAATGTTGGCTCACAATTTAGTGGATCTTCTCACAATTTAAGTTATGCTAAGGCAAAGAATATTTATTCGCATATTGTACATTCATACTGCTAATATATACCGGAATACATAATGTGAGATGAAAATTTTAGAGGTTATTACCAATAGTTTAGTTCCTCTTTTTCATTACATTAGGCACCAATGGTGGCAAATGAAAAATATCGTGTTTAAGTTCATCATCCTAGATATTAAGTTCCTGCGCATAGGTTGTAGATCATGCGATAGTCTTGTTGCAAATTAATTGATGAAATTTTCGCAGTGCTCGAATATTAAAATAGGAATGAAATTTTCATCATTTTATGTTATCGTGTTGCTACACATTATACTAGAAATTTGGCTATAGATTTCACATTCTGCCCTTCATTTCTAGGCGGAAAAAGTGTGCCCAGCAACTTTTTACTGCAAACGATCTGTCATATTTCAAGCCGGGATTAAGCTACGAACCAGGGTTCCATCAGTTGATAGTGAGGACAGCGACCTCAGTGACAGCGGTGATAACGATGGAGACTACATTGCTATACTGTTACCACCGTTTAATGATAGAAGCAGCAGCAACTGTAGCACAGATGACGATAGCGGAAGGGAAGAACTGCACAGTAACAATCATCATGCCGCACTTGCTAACATTAGTTCTATTCCTGAAAGAAGGCTAGCAGCTGCTACTCCTGCAGCAATGCAGTCCACTGCTGTTCCCGCAACCGAAAAACCAGCTGCAAGAAAGCGATCAGCATTTATTGGAAAGAGGAAACAGTATTACAACAGAATTATAGGAAAGACACTCCACTATGGCAAGCTGCTGTCCCTGATTCTGATGAAATCAGAAATCCAATGCAGTAGTTCAGAGTATTCTGACACTCACCTTTATATAGTGTTGTCAAGGAAAGTAACCAAGACTGCAAACAGATAAACCTTAACAATGCGCTTCAATTAGATGGAAAGGAACTGTAACAGTTCATTGGTATTGTGACGTCCACGAGCCTTTTACAATAGTCAATTGCTCCGGCATATGTCGAATAGCGCATGTGGTGATGTGATGTTGCGAGACAGATAAGAACAAATTAACAGATTTCTCTACTTCAATGTTAACACTAACATAGCAGTTGACAATAAAATTTTCAAAACCAAACCAATCATTGATTTGTTCTTACCGAAATTGCAGTCTCTCTCAAAAGCAAATGTTATCCGTTGACGAACAAATCGTCCTATTCAAAGGGGGTCCAGCTTGAAGCAATATATTCCCAAGAAGCCATAAAAATCGGTGGTGTTGATGCTCTTGATGCACTGATTACTTATTATCGGATCTATATCGGGTCCAGAAAATACTACTACAGGTTTTGTCCATTTTTTCGACATGGTGGTCGTTAACAACTGGTTACTCTATTGACACGACTGTGGCTCACTGGCTGTATCTCTAAAGAAACAGGACTTTCTTGCTTTAAGATTATCTATTGCAGGGGCATATCCCATGCATGGCAAAGACATGTAGAAAAAGTAGATGAGACGACCTTCATCATAAATTGAGACGGAGTTTAAAAGGAAGAAACGCCGAGGCCAAGCTAAGGCTGTTCCATCACTGGAAGCGCGGTCAGATTCCGTGGATCACTGGTAAATGATTGGTAGTGCACGGCAGCGATGCAAACACCTAAACTGTAAGGGCCAGACACTGCACAAAGTGCAAAGCCCACCTGTGCCCCGGCAAGAAAAAGAACTGCTTTAGGGAACTTCACGACTAACTGTTTCTCCGTATTTTACTTTCCTTCATTGTCACGAAATACTTGTCATAATTTGGATTGTGTACAGAAATTGACCAATTGCTACATCAATAAAACAAGTATATAGCTGAGACGGGAAACTTGGTTCAGTAGCCATTTTGCCTAATTGTGCCTGATGTCAATATTTTGCATCATACCTAAATTTATATCTATAATATGCTTCATAAACAAATTAACTATATCCGCCTAGAGTAACATCTGCATGTTAGTAAAATCATAATTTTTCAACACTATCGAGAACAGTGTCGTTCATGCGCGTAACCAGAAAGACTGAAGACGTAAATCGACAAGTACATCGCAGTATACCGATGCCTGGGTGTGATGGTGGCTGAAACCGCGGGGGCGAGGGCAATCGTCTGCCTCAGTACGGCCGATCAGGCGATCGATCGGGTGGACAAATGGACGCAACACTGGGTAAAGCGACAAGATTGTATGCAACCAGAAGTCATTAATCACAGATCGGCCCAAAGGAAAAGTCGTTTTCTAAAGTAACCTGTTGAAAACAGACGGTAAATCTCGAGCTTTTGAGAATGAGGGAAAAGAAGTAAGTGTTACCCACTTTGATTGTCGTGGCTGCAGCTGCGGGTGCAACTTGTTCCCCAATGGATCGCATTTTGTCTGCAAACTTTTGTCGATCTTCAGTGATTTCAATGGTAGCAGCTGGAGTGCCTAAAACGCGACAACCAAACGCGTCCAATGTGCTTTGCAGCGTTCCTTCGTGAGCCGAAGGTTCTGAACCGTCCCCGTCACCGCTGTCGCAAGAATTGGGAGTCGCCAAGGCCAATCCGCAGGTTAAACCAGTCTGACCTCCGAATGCAATGAGAATGCCATCGGGGCGCTCAGTCTCGATAACTCGTGCAACACATTCAGGAGTCACTGGGAGGAGAAAGATCTGCAAAAAATAGACATGGATAATCACATTGAAATCCCAGTGAACGAATAAGCAAAATAAGGTATCAAAAATAAACTGGAGTTTCCTAGCGACGTGTTGATGTCACGTTATAACCAGGGGTCGCCCGCACTTAAGTACCCTCAGGGTGATGCTATGTGGATCAAAAGCCAGACGCCCGAAACCCTTGACCACCGACCTGCTAAGATTTCAGTCTATGATACGTTGCCATCAAAGTTCAAGCAGGAATAAACGGGTTGGAATTCTGCAGACACAGTAAAACTTATGCAGGATGGAACACTTGAACAATGGAGCAGCAGATCAAACGCATGAATCACTACGCACTACGGATCCCAAGTTTAACTAAACAAATTATGGAGCTAATATCGTGATCGATAAGGGAAATCCGAAAGAAAAAAACAAAAATAAACGAAACTGATAATAGTAAGAGAACTGAAACCAAGAAAAGATGGATTTATGCGATCGGACAAAAATCCGCGGAAAGTGAAATGACTAGAACGCTGGATGATAAGTTTTAGCTAAAGCCAAAGGAAAAAAGGACCACCACAGGGTTGACAGCGATTTTTGACGCACAGGTACTTGAAAACTGAAACAAAACCAAAAATAACTAGAATTCACCTTGTCGGCCATACCAGCGGTTGTCTGAACAGTTGCCACATTCGGATTCACCAATAAGGTTTGTATGCCCTCTTCGTGCAAGGCTTTAAGGGCCTGACTTCCGGAGTAGTCAAACTCTCCAGCTTGACCGATAGACAGTCCACCAGAGCCCAAAAGTAGGACTTTATGAGGGCGGAGAGAAAGTGTAGTGAGGAGGTGCTCGAAGGGAAGCTGTTGGTAGTAGATAGAATTGGTGATCCTTTCACTCAAAGTCAAATCAGACGGTGATCGCACCTGTTGAAGGAAAGTGGAGATTCATTGATGGGTTATGCAATGGGGCACTGAGTGTAATATCGAGCAGGGCAGCGTTAAGGCTGAGTTGGGGAATACTGGGGAATACTTACATGCTCCAAGAATATGTCAAAAAGGAACTCAAGGTCACGAGGGCCTGCCATATGTTCCGGGTGAAATTGGACACTCATCCAAGGCTGAGAGCGATGGGCGAGACCCTCGTTGGTGTGGTCGTTCGCATTGCGAAATAGTTCGTACCAATCACTGGGGAGATTGGACAAATCTACGGCATAGCCGTGGTTCTAAAGAGACAATAGCAACCGGTTGAAGTAGCTGTTGGCCAAATTATACATATAATTCAAACACAAGTCTAAAAAGAAGAATAATGCATCCGCTCAAGGTGGACTAATGCGATAACAGGCGCAACCAAAAAATATTTCATGAAATTTAGAGCAAATAAACAGCGAAGGCCACAATCTTAATACATTTTTATGCCACGTTTGCTTCTGTGACTTGGCTATGTCCGGCCTTTTCACTATTAGACAATCTTGTATCACCCCCGTTGTCATCACTGAGTTTACGAGGAAAAACAACTCATGGGAAGAACATATTCACACCAACCTGGCTGGTGATGAAACAGCGCTTTGTCTCTAGGTGAATGCAGGGTTGATTGTGTCCCCGATTGCCATATTTCATTTTGTAAGTGTTCAGTCCAATGGCTCTGGCGAGTAGCTGATGACCGAGGCAGATGCCAAAAAGTGGCTTTCCGGATTTCAACCAATGTTGGATCTGTTGTACAACCAATGAACAAATGCTCGGATCCCCGGGACCGTTGCTCAGAAATAATGCATCGAACTGGTCGATTCGATGGGAGATGTCCGTGGACCAAGGCATTAAAGTAACCTAGTAACAAGAATAGGTAGTTACATTAATGTGGTCTGAATGTGACAAACGGTAAAAAAGGCGTTAGCAGTACCTCGATACACAGGACCGACGATTCGCTACCGCGCAACCACCACCGGTCGCACGTAATAAAAGGATACTGCGAGAGTTGCCGGGTCCCGCACCCTCGGATTACAAGGCAGGCTTGTAATCCTTAAGGCCACAGGCCGGCAAATGTTAGAACTCTACGGTTGCGCTTCGTAATTTTAAATATTCAAATGAACTTGGTACTTTAAATGAAGATGGTTTGTGGACAAGCCAGGAGGTAGATAACAGGAATCACGCTTTTCGCTGCGTCCTCAATCTTGTTCCCATCCGAGAAACAATACTGGATACAAATGGAGTAAATTTTGCCAATCTAGTCACGGGTGAGATTCCACTACGCCTAACGTTCAATACTCTGAGCAGAATGTATCTGTGATCGGAGAAGTACCCTAACTCAAGGATGAGACAGTATGAAATGACGTGAAGGAACAAAGTATGCATAATACAAGTAGTTGTAAACTTTGAGGTAAATCACATCATCCGACGGTTGCCCAACTGACTTTAGTTCCCCTGGAGCAAAAACATCGGATTTGATTGTATTTGGCACCACAATCGAAAATCGCCACGTGGAGATCACCGTCCGGGTTGTAGACAGTTTCTTTCTGACAGCTAACTTCTGCCACTAGATTGTGTTCGGAAGGATCCAACCAAGCAGGCTCGCGTCCGACGCATGTCATCGGATAAATCCTTCCGAGCATGGTACCTGGATAGATAGAGCTTGTTGTTACGGAATGTATCAAGCGTACCATGGTGCCTTAGTTTTAAAGTCAGCAGCCGAGTGTCGATGTTACTGATGCAGGTGATCCCATTCTCAGCAAGCCAAGAATGAAGCGACTTCACAGCTGCAAAGTGCGAGTACTCGGCACATAGCTCAGAAACGATGAGGCCACGAGCGAATATCGATCTTGATTCGAACCACTTTGGTAACCCGTAGGCGTCCAAATCGGTGGCGGAGGGCACACCATAGTTGCCTAGGAGAGGATTGTTGGAGGCATAAAGCGACTAACCTATGGAGGGGTATGTCAAAACCAAAAGTTGTGAATGATATGATGGATCAGTCAACGATTCAATATATCCAACCATCCCTGTTTGGAAGACAACTTCTCCTGCGGCCGGAGTACAAGAACCGTAAAGAAGTCCATCAAAAACAGTTCCATCGGAAAGCTCCAGCCGTCCGATTACAGGGGTATGTACAGGATCCATGTATTTCGGAGAAAAATACTAAAACGAAGAAGTAACTGAGATAGTAATGATGCAATAGAATGGATAAGGGAAAGTGGACTCGGAACATGGTTGAAAGAAGTGGGGTGAACGTCGGGTTAAAATGACCGAGAACAGAAATATACGATACTTCTTATGTACATAGAAGCGCGCCACAACAGGTGTGATGAAAACGAAGCAATAGTATGAAAGTGAAGAAAGACGATGAAAGCGGCAGCTTTGTTGCTGGTGAGTTAAACGCGAAATGGTTCAGCTATCAAAAGGAAAAAAATGCGGTGATACACTTGACTATAACAGACGATGAACTAAAAACTTAAATGGCTACCGCATGCTTAGTGAGAGAAAGGATGGAGCAGATAACGTGCAAGAAAAGTAATCCTCTTACTTGCCAGAAATGTAATCAGTTGCAGGGTTTGCAACCACCATTTTTCTCAATTAGTAAGGGCAGGAGTGAATCCGGATCGGTGCCTCGCTGTCTCCGTAGGCGAGTTGGAGCATTAGGAACTGATGGGCCTTCAAGCGGGACTCGTGAATATGACCACCAAATGTGATATAATTACCACAATCGGTAGTTAGAAAATGATAGAACCGCTAGTTTGCTAACGCAGTCCTGCACTGCTGTCTTATGCCTTAGAGATGTAAAGCACGTGTCGTAGTTCGTGGCAAGCTGCATCAATCTGCGAAGAACCATTAGAACGGGGTTCGGACCGGTTCCGTAAGTGCTACATTATCCGCGATCATTTGATCATTTGATGGAATCTTTATTACAGACGAGGCAAAAAGCTAGAATCATGGGTTTTAGTCTAGAGTGATGATGAGAATATGTGACAATCAGAAGTCACGATGCCCTCCATCTATCGTGGCATCGTCGTCTCGTTGACTACAGCAAGGCATTCGAGAAATTTCAACACTAAAGGCTTCTCTATAAACCCCAGTGTATTGGTGTCTCTTGGGGAATACTTTCCTGGATCTATGACTTTCTAATCGCGTGTAACATGCAAGTGCAAGTGAATCAAACTTTTCCCGCGCTTGTTTCTATGACCGGTGCTGTTCTACAGGGCTGTCCTTGGTCCCGGGAGCTTTAACATCTACATTAACAACCTCCCATCTAAACTTCAAACAAATTGTTTACTTTATGCTGATAACATCAAACTATGGCTACACGTCAAAGCTAAAGATGTCGACCGACTGCATGCAACGCTAGATCTGCTGCAATGCTGGTCGATGAAGTGGCTGTTATCCATCAAAGTGTTCTGTATTCCCTACTGGCACTTATGCGCCATCCGACGCCTACACTTTGACGGCGTCTTGTTTAAGAATGCGGCATGTGAGGATTTCGGTGTACTAATTTCTCCGGATCTAAGCACAGTCCTGAACACATTGAAGGTCCGGCTGCCAATAGGATGTTCTATGCTATAAGGAGATCGTTTCCCTAAATGACGCCTGAAATCCCCAGTCTACTGTTTACATTTCAGGTGCGCTCAATCCTTGAACAAGTGCAACTAGCGGCCTAGGCTCTTACAGAGGCTGAGTGCATCACGACTGAAAAAACTCAACGGCGTGAATTTGTCCATCTCGGTGCTTTGGAATCCTCCTCATTAGACCTGTTTTCCATGGATTATCGTTTTCGTCGTGGCGATTTGACTTATCTCGGACCTATTTTACGAGGACTGTTAGGCAGCCAGCTACTGTTCTTTCAGCGCTACACCGATAGTTCAACACCAAGTCACCAACTGAAACGGATTAAACTGGAGGCTCCGTGTTTGCGCTGACGTCACATTGTTC